ATAAGACAATCTACAAGTAAAAAGAAATAGAATATGCGTGAAGTTCGTATGCCAAGAATTTTGAATGACCATAATGACATTTGTCATTTACCTTTTAAACAAATAAAGGAGTTTTAATTATTTTTTCAAAGAAATTTAGCAATGCTTTTTGAATTATATATAATCAGAAGTGATTTAAATTGAATATTTAAACCAATACTAATTAATATTTGTGAAAAAACTGTGCTCATCAACCTTCCTAAGTGCTTCATTACAATTGAGGTTAACTATCAGTTTGTATTATTATTATCGAGTAATGTTTTGATTAAAAAAATTACCACTTTGTTTAATCAAAACATGTAATTTTTCTCTAGCAAATATAAGGACAAGAGACAAAAAACAATTGATGAATCAGTGTAAGTGAACTAAATTGAATACAAAAAAAGAGTTGTCATCTTATCGCTGTGAAACATCAAAAACTGGAGGTGGAACAAAGCCAAACTATTTTTAATAATGCCAAAGAAGTATAACTTCTTACGCGCGTACATAAGTACACGCACCCTTTTTTTTCTCTACAAACACACGATTCTATACAATTTATATTAAGCTTTTAACGCAATCAACAAACTAAACCATATAACCATATAGCCTGGCTACAGCTTAAACATCGAAAACAATAATTTCATGTGACAAATTTGTTCCTTCTGACCGTATGATCAAATCATTTAACGTCAATATGTACGATTTCAAAAATATCAGCAACAGCGACGAAATATTAAGAGCTTATTCCAATGACATTTAATAATATTGTATTAGAAAGAAAAAAGCACATTTAAGAAATTCGTTTTTTATTTTAATTCTGTCTCGTTTAACTGTAACAGAACAGATAAAAAATAAAAAGTACAAAAAGCTTTAAAAATAATGTATGAAAAGAAATTGACGAAAACGCAAAAAATGTCTGGCAAGAAACGTTACGAAAAACTGAAATCGAAGAAAGAAGATTCCTAGTGGGAGTGCCATGCTGTTGCCTTCGGGCTTCAGCCAAATGGGCAGGCACGACCGGGGCAGTACCACTGTCTCTCAGAAAACCGGCGTGAAGTGATGCAATAAGTTCACCTTATTGTACTCGCGTTTCGTGCGGTGAGAGAGACTCCCGGAGCCCACCCCCCTCCCCATGAAATATGAAGGTGCAGAAAAAAGAATCTACCCCCGGGGGTACCACACGCGCTCGCGGTGGAGAATCCCCCTCTGGGCGTCCAACACCGGGACATTCAGCACCCGGTGATGGACGCACAGGCTGCCCTTCGTTTCTGGGGGCAATTCTGCGCTCAACATCAAAAACAGTTATCGTTCTCGGGGCAAACGGAGCAACTCAACAAAGGCACCCCCGTCCACGCTCGCTGTGGACTTCACAAATGTTAGGGGGCTCAATTCTAATATCAACGCAGTCCACTACCATTTAGAGACTGCGAAGCCGGCCTTGCTCTTTCTTACCGAGACTCAGATTTCCTCCCCGGCTGATACTTCCTACCTCTCCTACCCGGGGTACAAATTGGAACATTCATTTGTGCCGCGGGCGGAGTTTGCGTGTACGTCAGAGAGGATATCTGTTCTCGTCGCCTCGGGACGCTTGAAGGAAGGGACCTATCTAACCTCTGGCTGCGCGTAGATTGCGATGACCATCCGCGATTCTATGCATGCCTGTATAGGTTCCATAGCGGAAATACCGAAACTGACCGACTCATTGAGCACATCCAAATGGCTACAGATTCCCTGCTCGAAAGGGTTCCTACCGCTGAAATCGTGATACTTGGCGATTTTAACGCCCACCATGCCGATTGGCTCGGCTCAGAAACCACCGATCATGCGAGAAGATCCTTTCACGACTTTGCTTTGGCTTATGACTTGACGCAAATGGTCCCTGCGATTACGCGAATACCAGATGTGGATGGTCATAAACCCTCTTTGTTGGACCTTCTGCTGACTTCACATCCGGAGAACTACCAAGTCTCTGTTGAACCGCCATTGGGTTCATCAGATCATTGTGTGGTCCGGAGCATTGTGCCGTTCACGCGCCTTCTTCGGCCTAGCTTCACGGGCTGTCGCCGCGTGTGGCACTATAAGTCAGCAGATTGGGATGGGATGCGGTCTTTTTTGCGTCCTACCCTTGGGGGCCCATTTGCTTTTCGTCGAGTACTCCAGATGCCGTCGCTGACTCTGTCGCCGAGGTGGTCCTGCAGGGTATGGAACTCTTTATTCCATTCTCTGCGGTGCCGGTCGGTGGCAAGTCCCAGCCTTGGTTTAGGCGTTCCTGCAAAGCGGCTTTGCGCCGTAAGCGTGAATGCTTTAAAGCCTGGGCAGAAGCGGTGACATCCTGTGATGTGACTATCGGCGAACGTAAAAAGCATACAATTCAGCCTCCAGGTCCTTCAAGCGAGAAATCGCTAAAAGCAAAGTCAGAGCACATTGCCAGATTTGGTGAGAAATTGGCCCACCTCCTTCGGGAACTCGAGCCTTCTGGTCTCTTGCCAAAGCTGTCCAAGGGAATTTCTGTCAGCCCTCAATTCCACCACTGCATAGGGAGGATGACTCACTTGCCCATACCGCGAAAGAGACGGCCGATCTTCTAGGCTGTCTCTTTGCGTCGAACTCCACTTTGGATGATCAAGGGAAGGAACCACCGACATTATTGCGGTGTGATACTACGATGCCCGAAGTTATATTCCGGCAACGTGCTATCCGTAAAGCTTTGTCTTCCTTGGACATCCATAAGTCGAGCGGGCCTGATGGCATCCCTCCAATTGTGCTGCGTACTTGTGCTCCTGAGTTGGCTCCGGTCCTAACGCGCCTTTTCCGGTACCTTTACACGCTCGGCACTGTTCCGAAGTGCTGGAAGATCGCTTCGATACATCCGATCCCTAAAAAAGGCGATCGCTCTGATCCGTCCAACTATCGCCCAATAGCTATAACCTCCTTGTTCTCCAAAATAATGGAAACCATTATTAACAGCCAGCTCTTGAGGTATCTAGAGGGCCACCAGCTGATTAGCGATTCTCAGTACGGCTTCCGTCGTGGTCGCTCGGCTGGTGACCTCCTTGTATACCTTACACATAGGTGGGCAGAGGCAATTGAGTCCAAGGGGAGGCGCTGGCGGTAAGTTTGGACATAGCGAAAGCCTTCGATCGGGTGTGGCACAGAGCACTGCTCTCGAAGCTTCCAGCCTATGGGCTCCCTGAGAAATTATGCAACTGGATTCCCAGCTTTCTCGCTGATCGGAGCATCAAAGTCGTCATCGACGGAGCATGCTCCGACCTGAAACCTGTGAATGCTGGTGTCCCACAAGGCTGTGTCCTATCCCCGACCCTGTTTATTCTGCATATCAATGATATGTTGCAGCTTAGCAACATTCATTGCTATGCGGACGACAGCACTGGGGATACTTTTTACACTGGCCGGGCAGGTATTTCTCGGGCTGTTGTCGATGAGTACCGGAACAAACTTGTGTCTGAAGTCGAAACTCTTCTACGTGGAGTCTCGGACTGGGGTAGACTAAATCTAGTCCAATTTAACCCCAAGAAGACACAAGTATGCGCGTTTTCCGCTAAAAAAACTCCCTTTGTCGCTCCCCTCTTTGAAGACACTCTCCTTAAAGCCTCAGCTAGCATCGGAATACTGGGCGTTGACATATCGAATAACGTTCAGTTTCGCGGTCATCTGGAAGGAAAGGCTAAATTAGCCTCCAAAAAGCTTGGTGTGCTCAGCAAGGCGAGACGGTACTTCACTCCGGGCCACCGCTTGCAACTATATAAAGCGCAAATTCGGCCCCATATGGAGTACTGCTCTCACCTCTGGGCGGGAGCTCCCCAGTACCAGCTCCTTCCACTTGACCGTATTCAACGAAGAGCGGTTCGAATCGTCGACGACCAGTCACTTTCCGTGCGGCTTGATCCCTTGGCGTTGCGTAGAGATGTGGGATTCTCTGCATCTTCTACCGCATTTACCATGGAGAGTGTTCAGAGGAGTTGTTCGGTCTAATACCTGCAGCTGAGTTTCATCATCGGACGTCAAGGCAAAATACAAAATACCATCCGTATCACCTCGACGTCCGTCGTTCCACAACAGAGCGTTTTCTAAGGCAGTTTTTGCCGCGCACCACCACTATGTGGAACCAGCTGCCCACAGAAGTATTTCCGAACCAATTCGACTTAGGGTCCTTCAAGAAAAGAGCGTACCAATTCCTGAAAGGCCGGCAACGCACTTGCGAGCCTTCTGGCATTGTGAGTGTCCATGGGCGGCGGTATCACTTAACATCAGGTGAGCCTCCTGCCCGTTTGCCTCCTATTACATAAAAAAAAAAAAAAAAAAAAAAAGTTAAGAAATAAAAAAAATAAGAATCGTTTCATCTCATTGATATTATCATTAATATTATTCGGTCATTGATTAGCATATATAAATATGTAAAATGTACTCACATAAATACAACAGCTATTTTTTACTACTTCAACGTATTTTTAATTCATATTTGAAATTACCTCTCAAACCAAGTGTACAACAAAAACTTTAGGGGTTTTTGATCGACATTTAGGGGTATTTGAAGTTGGTCTTAACATTTTGTAGGAGTTGGCAACCCTGAATAACGTATTTTTCATATTTGTTTCCATTTAAGTTAAAGATTTATTAAGGTTAACTAAAAGGAAAATAATTATGTAAGATCTGAGAGAGAAGCAAAAGTCTTGATTCTAATTATTGTAATGGTTGAAGTCTAATATAAGTCTATTGTTTTAATTTCAAAACAGAAAGAATTACGTTGGCAACGACAGCTTTTTAGGAAACACTTAAGATTAATTGTAATGAGTTTTAAAGTGTAAGTATTTAAGTGTTCGGCAAAGGCGATACTTAAGTGTAAGTTTCATGTTACATTATGTTACGTAGCAAACGCAAAGTTTAGTTTACTATCATTCCACTTATTTGTCAGCATTCACAGGATAAAGACATCTTAATAATATAATAGTATTTTTAAAATGGAAAGAAGAGCCCATCCATCGAACATTCAGTTGGAAATATTATTGAAATTTTTAGAACATCAACCTAGCTTAGCGAAAGGATGTCCAAAAATATTCGCAGCTAGAGAGTATGCTAATGCCGAGTGGTCCAAGTTAGCTTTGAAACTAAATAGTGTCAGGGGTGGGTCTGTTAAATCTCCGAAAAGATGGATGAAGGTATGTTAAAAATTCATATAATTTTGTAGGTCTTGTAATTATAATTAAGATGAAATATAGGCATGTAATGCCCTATTTTCTACTTATAGTATTGGAGTGATAAAAAGAGTGCAGTTAAAAAAAAAGCAGCCATAAGTACAGGTCAAAGACGTCAAACTGGTGGTGGTATAGCAGAGATAATGCAATTAACTAAATTGGAGGAGCGCATTTTAACTTTAACGGTGGGTGACAGATTTTATGAAGGAGTTTCTTCACTTCGCGTTCATCCATTTTCAGTAAAAAACCTACATTCAAAAATCCTTATGACTTAAATATTTTAATGAATGTGCCCATAAATATATATTTCTCACAGGACCCTACCAGTAGTTCCTCAGGCAGTATTAGGATTTTTACACCACCAAATAGTATTGCACCAGTTTCTTTAATTGTAAGTCAAGTAGAAAATAATAAAATTTTTATGAATTTAATGTCATCTATCTTTTGAATTTTGTGACTTATTTGTTTAATTAAAATAATAGTACCGTTATCATATTTTAACTTTTAGGAACCAAATACAATATCTAACATTAGCCCAAAGATTCAAGAGACCCCAATAATTGCTGAAAATATTGATGTGAGTTACTATCTATTCCTTTTAAAAATTGATAGATTCTTGGAAATACAAAAAAAAAAGAAATCATTTACCTCTGATGTTTTATAATTAAGAAATAAATCATCAATATAAATGTTTAGATAATTGTTATATTATTGTAATTACATGAATAAATCTTTTAATAATAAATTTTAGGATAGCACAGTATATTCATTGATCAACTCAGATGTTGAAACCTCTAAGTATCCAGAACAACCCCAGTCATCTTCTGATGTCTCAAGTAAGAAGAATTTAATTTTTATTATATTGTACTTAATACTGATTACCCCATAACACATAATGTATAATGATATTACAGTCCCTAGTCGAGTGAGAAGGCGTTTTGGGCTACAACCCTCACCTCCAAGTCAACACCGTAACTACTTTAATAGCATAACTGAAAAATTATTAAGAATAGAAGAACAGCGATTGGACCTGGACAAAAAACTTTTAGATCTACTCAATCAACAATCAATAAATAACAACCTATTAATACAAACTGTCAACCACAGCCAGCAGGCCATAAGCGAAAGCCAGAAGGCTATGGCTGAAGCTCTTACAGCGATTGCAATTGCAATTAATAAATAATCTGTGTATTTAAATTTAATAATTAAAAGTAAATACTTGTTAAGTTCTAGTTAAAAATACGTAATAATTATAACAAAATTAAGTACTAAAATATAACAAGTTTTTAAAAGTAGGAGGAATAACTTTATAGTTAACACATGATCAATAAGCAATGGAGCACCAAAATTTTAAACATTTAATCCGTCTAGTTTCGGCTTAAACTTGATTAGGAGCACTATATACTAAATTAAGAAAACAACAAAGTTGAGTTTTGAAATATATAATGAATATCATTATGATTTAAAATTAAATAATACAAGCAAAATAAATGGCAATAAGCAGTAAAAACACATTTATTTCTTGTAACTCTGGGATTACTCAGTGATTTTTCTTTTTTAAAATAATTTGATTGCAAATTAAAAAGAAAACTCATAAGAATAATTAAATAGAAATATATTTTGAATACACTGGTATTATTAAAATAAGGTTTGAAATTTATCTTTGTGATTACTTCCTACGTGAATGTTACTGTGATATGTGATAAAAATTGTGTAACTGTACCATATAAATATTGTACTTCAAGTAAAATAAAAATATAAAAGATAATATGAGAAATATAAGCAATGTTATTGTTTTATTACATTAGTCTTGAGTTGTTCCAGATTGTTCTTATTAATTGAGCTCTTCTACCCAACTCTAACTCCCGTTGATTCCCATCTCTGTGATAATTTTCCCCACAGTATTGGGGTCATAATGTCGCATTGTGTTCTAACAGGCACCAAAATCGTCCTTTTAAGATACCTATAACCCTTTCGATAGTTGCGTGCACCATGTGCTATATTTGTTGCTTGAACTCAAACTCAAACTCAAAATATCTTTATTCAAGTGGGTAACCAAGTACACTTTTGAATCGTCAAGTTACATTAATCGTAAATTTACATTTACTACCAGTTCGCAAGTCAAGGGCGTAGAGCGGGTAAGAAGAACTGGCAAGAAACTTTCCGCCACTCTTTTTAATCGCCAAGTATTGTCGTACAAATTGAGGTGATCCATTTGAACCGTTTGGCACTGGTACCATCATATATGCTCGCTGACAGTAAGCACTATCACCTGTAATAAAGAATATGAAAGAAAAATAATAGAATTAAAGCAGGTTGTTAAGATTAAATTAACAAATAATAATATTATAATCATTTAACATATGGGATTATGACAATTGACAATGTGACAAAAAAAAATATGGTTTCATTAGAATAATTCAATTCCTCCAAATGTTCTTTTATGATGCATCCACATGCAAAGTATTTAAGTCTGCATCTATCTGAAATCAAATATTTTTTTAACTTAGTTCACAAAATTACAAAAATATGACTGGATTGGTTTATAACAATCACCATTTGCACATTTCTATCATGATAGCCCTTTCGGCATTATTATCTTCATCTTCTTTTGGCTTTATCATTGCAACGAAAGTCTCATCCACACATCCAATGCAACCATTAATTTTGAAGTTCTGGTAAAATAATCATACTAGCTTACAAATTTGAGTGGATTTATTTAGCGAATAAAGCAGCCCATGGCTTAGTAGCCAAAAAGTTGTTAAAAGATCTATAATCTTCAAAATGCCACAATCTGAGTGTGTAATATAATTAAATCTTATTGAAGCTATCATAAAAAATATATGTACTTAGTTCATTCAAGGAGTGTGCAATTGATACTTGCTCGTTAAGTAAAGATGACATAAGAAAACCTTTGGCCGTCATCTCAATGGCGTGAGACAAGAATTGAAGTCTAATCACCTACTTTCCTATATAAAAAAAAATTAATGAAACAGACACAAAAATATGTCTGCCCGATGTCCGATTGGAGTCTTACCAGACCTCTTACTTCTTTGTCTATAAACTTTAGCTTCTTCTTATTGAGCGAAACTCCCATGTGCCCACTCTTATGACACTGTACAAACATTAAGGCTTTTGAACGGCTTAACCGATTTTGAAAATTCTTTTTTAAATTAAAGATGGAAAAATTTCTCGTGCTGCAGGCTATAAAAACTCAATAATATTTACGAATAAATCACAAAATAAGCGGGAAAACAACTTCGAAGGAGACCTAAAACTAAAAAGTCCTTTCAACAAAATCAAATCTTTAAATTAAATGTTTTGAATCTATGTATTTTTACTCATCATTAAAAATTGAGTTGAACACTCGCTCCGCTCAAATTTGTGCTGAAGCGAAGCAGAATTGCGAGCACTGCGGCGTCCTAGAATTATCCAACAATAATTGTAATTCTTTGAAGTTATCACCGTACCGTTGAAATATCTATCGTTTTTTACCATGTAAAGAAAGAGAACATAGTCAATTTCTATTTAAAAAACCCACTAAATTGAATATTAAATCCTATAAATAGTAAACTCCATTCCAAATCGAACTCCATAATTAATGTTTAAAATGTATTCGAGTGTGCCGTGATGTCATTCCTGGTGACGTCTGCCTCAGTGACGTTTCATTCATTATTCGTCTCTGAATGCGATCTGGATAAAGCGGGCTCTAATTATTTCCGTACTAGCTCGTAATGCGGCCGCGTAGGCGATCCCACACGTAACACTTATACGATTGATTTTCAATTTTCAAACTGATATATACAAATACCTCGTGAAAATGTTTTGTTTTTATTTAGGTTAGATAGGCTTCCGTGGCTGCGAAAGCCTATCATATTTTTCATAATAATAAAAACCCAGTGGGGTTATAACCCTATGTGGGTAGCCATAGATTGCAACCGGTTCATAGACAAATAGGATCAGTCGTCTGTCTGACATATTATGTCGTCGATTATGGGGTTTGAAACATAATATCAGTCTCATCACGATGTTTTTCTTCACAACTGGTGCACAAGGGGATCGGACCTCATGAGATTCGCACGCTGAAGACACTAGGCCAACACTGCTTGGTGTCATTTCTACGTCAGTATAATTTACGTATTTTAGCATTGGCCTATCTAACAAATAATTTTTTTGAATTTAAACAGATTGGTCAAATTAGGATCCAAGGGGAAACGACATATAGCGCGAACTATTTCTGACGTATGGGACTTAGACTAAGCGTAAGAAAGTAAAAACTTATTTAGCCTACTTAGCTAAGTAAGTAGTGTCAAAAATGTATTGGATTTAGGACATACGGAAGTATGTCGCACTAATTTCCACACTCCCTTTACCGTTTAGAGAAGTACAGTACAAGGCCCTCATCTACATAAATACTTACAAGAAAGTCCTTTTCATTTTCAAACATATTCTGAGTAACAAAATAATGTATCATCTTTCTTTATCGTTGAAATCTTGAGACGCAAATATAATCCAAACTCGAAATAATAACGTATAGTATATAATATGACAGTATGTAAATAGGATGCGAGCAGGTGCATCGTTATTGAATGCATCATAATATATGCATTCACGTGATATTTTCGTCATTTATATTTGGAAGACAACGTTGATTGGTATTTTGATTATATACGTAGTCGGGTTTTGTTCTTTAGATTTGCTATCCTTACAATGCTGAAAACAAAAGTTTCAAAGAAAGGATCTCGTGTACTGCTTTAATTATAAACCAATTCGACTAAGCGTCCTTCAAGAATAGAGCGTATTAATGCCTAAAAGGCCGGCTAAACTCGCTAACCCTCTGGCATTGAGTGTGTCCATGGCGGTATCACTTAACTTCAGTTCTCCTGTCCGTTTGCCCTGTGTTCTATAATGACCTTTTTATAAAGTTTACCAGAACAGTTTATTACTATCTTAAATAGACACTATTAATATTACATTTCTATTTTAGTATCCTAAAAGGTACGATATAAATAATTCTTGATAGTATCAAGCATCAGGGTGGCGACGTATAAAAATAACTATACTCTAAAACCATACCAGCTCAGATCTTTTTTTGGAAGGATTTGGAGGAAATCTATGCCAAAAAATGGCACACGGATACCTAAAAGAAGATTGAAATAGAAACGTGTATGAATATAAAAGTATCTGAATAAAATTATTAATATTATTATTTTATAATAAAAGCATGGAGTATTAATACTGTACCTACTTATTAACACAATTTATTTTTATATATAACCACGGTTGTATACTACTGAAACCTACGTACATAGTCTTTTCATTATGCTTTAACTGAATAGAATTGAGCAAATTATTTCGTTTGTATTTATTAATTTTCGAAACGTTTCGAGATGTTTTCAATACGCATGGTCACAAGCTCAGTTAGATATTGAATCATTGTAGAGACAGTTAAATGTTACACCTCTTATTATATCTTATTATACCACAATTGGCTTAAGTTTGACTATTCTATGGTCCCTGGATGACGTATCATCGAGCTTCGAGCATCGAGTTTACCTCACTCCAAGTCTTTCCAGTACCATAATATTTTTATTGGGTAGTAATTAATTAAAACATATTTAAAACGAAGGGCAACGAACTCACCTAATATGCGGTAGCAACGACTCACATTCGCAGAAGGAACAGCAGTTTGGAGAATTAGTTCCCTCTTTTCTTCAAAGATAACTTAAGCTCTATGTTTCGCCAAAATGCACCCAAAATCCTCAAAGGCATTCCCTCACCATTATTTGTCAACGTCTAGACTTATTTCAGTTTCAAACGCATCGGAATCAGAGCGTCCATAAACAGACGTCATTCTAATGCCTTTGTTATGATTCCGTTGGAAAATCCGTTATCTGTAACGAGGAATTGATTTTAACGAGCGTCGCTGACAGATATTCGGTCTGATTAGTCTCTTTGTTGTATATAATTGTCGAGTCTAATGCTCCACAGATTTACGACAGCCCATTATGTCATTGTCTTCCGCATGCAATTCCGTTAACATTATACTTGTGTTATTTTGTATCGACGTGATGCCTATTAGAGTGTTCAAAGGATTTTGTGTTTACATCTTTAATTTATCTTCGAGTACTAATGCTTAGTATTAATAGAAATTGTTTTTTAAATTAAATTTTTAATGAACAT